CCTTCTTCACACCGCAACTGATTTAGAAGCATGTTATAGCTCAAATGGAAGGCACTGGTAAAAAAATGAACAAAACCGTCTACATCAATAAAAAATGTCAAGAAGTCTAACGCTCTTGAAGCAAAACTATCAATGAGGTTAATCATTTTCTACCCTGTGGATTTAAATATCTGATACTTAACAATGTACCTGTTCAAAGAATCAGCACTTCCTTTTAGCATTGATTTGGCAACAGCGGGTTCCATCTTCTCATCAATCATGAGGATACAGATACCTCGTTTGTCAATACCTCGGCGTCCAGCACGACCACTCATCTGTATATATTCTCCACTTGATAGCCACCGGAACTTGTCTCCGTCAAACTTACGTACATTTGTAAAAACAACTGTCTTTGCCGGCATGTTCAATCCAATACTAAATGTCTCTGTAGCAAACAAACACTAAAAGAAAATACTTCAAACTTAAGTGGTAATGAAAAAGTGAGAAAGAGAAAACACAATCAAAAAGTGGAAAAACTTAAGTCCATAATGTATCTGTATGCCAAGCAGAGTAAAGGCAAACACCATAAATTGATTTACCAACCAGCAACCAATCGAGAAGGTAACAAAAATTGAGAATATGGAAATTTTAGCTCTATGCCTTCACCTACCTTAATAAGACCTTCTTGAAATAATATCTCAATTACTTCTTTCAAAATTGGAAGCAGTCCCGAGTGATGAACGCCTATACCACGTTTTAAGATGGGTAAAATATTTGACACCTGCAGTACATGAAGCCATAAATCATGTCACATTCCCCACAGAACAAATACATTCAACAAGTCGAATCACATCTAAAACTAGATCAACTACACAAGCACCAAAATGACCATTAAATAAACATCAGGAGTAGCGAATATATGCTTTTACGTGTTAGTGACAAGGGAGACAAAATATTCAATAAAAATTGAGATGAAAGAGGCGAGGTTGGTGGGTAGTTCACTACTAATAAGCTAATAATACTAGCCATCGCCTACAGAGATGTACAAAGGAACATCCTTAGCACACATATAAATTCACGGGCATTTAAACATTAAAATATGTTTCAAGAAGTTGGGGAAAGTATTTACAAATATTATAGGTTAAGGTGCATTATATAAACTCTCAGGCATCTTAGAAAGAGTTTTAACGAATGCTTGCCTGAGGTAGCTTCTTATCATCATCTGAAAGCATATCAATTGCACTAGTAAAGATTGTCTCCACAGCGTCTTTCTCATCATCACTGTTTAAATCCATCTTAGACATCTGTCGAACAAACATACAGGCATTATACTCACGTTATAACAGTAAGAGCCACAGCACGCAGACAATGAACTTCAGATCTTCAATACATATAACAAGACATGCCACAGAGTCACTGTAAGGTTTCAGGTAAACACACTATAAATATCGCAAAAACAATTTTTGAAGTCAAATATAATATATGAACAGTATATTATAGACAAGTGTTGATCCAAGTGAGGACTTCTTTTGTGACCCAACTCCTACAACCGGTCCCAAGATACACAGAAAATTCACTTTTTCTGTTACTAACTCTATTTAACCTCTTTCAGGACTAACAGACTCCAGTAAGAGAGTTTTTCTGAGCTGCCACAAATTTGTACCTTAGTCAATAGACATTGCTATTTTCTGAAAGAATTGAAAACACACATGAAAACATATGCTAACCACATAAGACTCCAGAAGCTTATCACAGTCACTCAACCCCATATCATTATAAAGGAATAAGACTGATCCAAGCAAAAGACGAAGACGCGAAGAAACACCTAAGTTTTTGGACGAATTTTCTTATTTTCAGCAGAAACAAATTCAGATATCGTTTTGCTATTACTTCAAACAAAAGAACATACTCCAAAATGAGATGAAATGATCATATGACAGGGTTAAGATCTACGGATTTGCAAAGAAGTCAAATAAAAATTATTGTTGGTAAATGATATATTTACTTGCACCAGACAAACAGAAGAGGAGGAAACTAACCTGCGTAGCAAGTGCCTCGCATTCCTTTTTGCTGAAACTGAACAAAATCACGGGATCATATTGCCGCTGAATTATCATTTTCACCAATTTGAATATGTCACTTTCTTCACCAAGTTTTGCAACCACTAATCCCTTATGAGACTTTCCATTATCTCTTTTCTTGTCACCGTCATTAGTTGGAACCAGTGCATTAAGAGATTTCTGGAAGCTATCCTCGTGAAATTTAGCCTTCTCGTCCACAACCAAGTAAAGTCCATTGCCTCCAGCAGGAAAGACATAGTGCTGAAGCGGAGTTGGCCGATAATCGGTGTAAACAATGTGGCATGGTTGTCGGTGAACCTGCAATACAAATTCGATAATCACATCTCCAGAGCAACCAAACCAAATAAAATAAAATAAAAAATTTACATTGCATTTCGTCAAGACATGTTTTTACTTCCTCCGAAATAAATAGAAAATATGAAATCATAATTACAAGTTAATAGGAGAATGTGCATAAATGCTATGCATTGTACTCATCCAGTCACAAAAAAAGAGGTAGAAGGAGTGATTTACCTTCGCAACCCAATCAGCAAACTCCTTGGCATTGGGCACAGTTGCAGATAGAAAGACAAAACGAGAATTCTTCGGAGCCATTACAATACTTTCTTCCCAAACCACACCTCTTTCACTATCTCGCATGTAATGCACCTCATCAAAAATAATCCAAGCAACCTCCCGCATAATCTCTGACCCTTTATACTGCATGCTACGCAAGATCTCTGTGGTCATAACCTATAACAAAGAAACCAAAAACTAAAACCAAACAGCAAACAAAGCAATTTCCAAGACAGAATCAAACACTAGTAAAGATACTTACCAGGCAAGAGGCATTAGGATCAATAGTCACATCCCCAGTCATCAAACCAACATCAGAAAACTCTTCTTTAAAATCTCTGTACTTCTGATTACTAAGTGCCTTTATAGGAGAAGTGTAAATAACCCTCTGGTTTTCCTTCAAAGACATGGCAATAGCATAGGATGCCACAACCGTTTTACCAGCAGATGTATGAGCTGAAACCTGAACATATGAACTTATACACTTTCAGTTTTCTTAATTCCTTCTACATTCAATTGAACTACACTATACATTCATTCTAATCATCGAACTCATTGTAAAGTTCACAGCTTGAATTAAAAGATGTAGCCTTTAAAGATTAATTAACCAATTCAGTAACAAAGATTACAACTTTAGTGACCAGAATCAGTTTTTCAAAACGTAGAAGCAAAGCTTGGAGCTTTGAAAACAGATTAAAGCTTACCATGACTGACTCGCCATTATCAAGACACTTGATAGCTTCAGACTGGAAGGAGTCAAGAGTAAAGGGGAACTCTTTAGCCGGTGGTTTATTGTCAACGGAAGGAGCAAGAGGAACATAGTTTTCAGGGAAAGAAACATCGTGAACGCAACCAACAAGCTCTTCGTTGATGATTTGGGTTGAATCGTCTTCTCTCTGAACCTTCTTCGGCGGAGCACAATCAGAAGAAGATTCTTCCAGAGATTTTCTCTTCACCGAACCCATGGGAGGAGAATGGAGTAGTGGGTAAGTTCTCCGCCGACGAGTAACGTTGCTGGTGGTGGTTGTACAAAACGAAGATGAAGATAAATACTTTGTCTCTCTCTCTTTCTCCACGTGCTTTAGGGTTTCCTTTTAGCCCAATTAGCCCTTTTATCGTTGTTAGTAAGGCCCAATCGTTTTTTATTTTCACAACGTTGACGTTGGATTTTTTTTGGTCACCAAATCGATTCTTTTTTTTTTTTCTTTCAACTACACCAAATCGATTTAATAATGGTGTTTATTTTTCAATTTGTAGATTCTGGTGAATATAGGAATATAAATATCTAAAATAGGTTTTGTCCCAACCAAAAAAAATATTAATGAATCCGCTCATAAATTAGCTAGATTTGGTTGCAAAAGTTTAGACTTTTGTTCTGATTGTTCTAATACATAACATTGTTCAAAATCATTTTCCGAAAGAAAAAAACGAGTACTTGTATCCGAATTTGGTACATAGCCACCAAAACTAAAGTGCCTTGGTTTCCACTCTCCAGATTTTGGCATTGGAGAAATTAATCAAAACCAGAACAAACAAGTAGTTTTGTTGAGGTAAGAGAAACTATCAATTCGATCAACAGAGCAACAAAACCAACATGCAACAAGGTAGAATTAGGAAATTAGTAAAAATCCCTCATAAATCCATTGAGTATGTATCAAACAAATAACAAAACTAAAACTGCTATTAACCAAACCCTCAATTTTTTAAACAAAGTTGCAATTTTGTGGTTCTCTAAAATGAGATTCCACAATTTTTCGCCAAAACGCATAATCTTCTTTTACAGAAAGACGTAGATTTATTTTTATAGAGAATCGTAAGATTATTTTGGAGAAAAAGGTGAAATCAATTTTGGCGGATATTAATCACAAATTAACAAAAAATTGTGGAATCACATTTTTAACAAAAATAAAAAAGTGGATCACGTTTTTGGCAGGTAACATAAGCCAATTAAGTTGTGTCTTTGTGATATGGGACCAAAAATATCAAGACAAGTGTTAAATTATAACTAATTCACAGTACATACAAAATTACAAACAAACTTGTAATTTTATTTTTATGTATGCTATAGATGTTGGGCATGTTTTCCAAGGTAGCCACCTCAACCAATGCTCGACCAGGTTTCCCCTCTTTAGGCGACTCTCCTTTTCTTCTTCTCATTTTTCCGTTCGCCATCCTTGTTGTGTTGACCCTTTCTCCGGCCATGCTTACAAGAAAAATTGTCTATATCCCTGAATTATTTTGCAGCTATTCTTGTGTCTACTCGTGGAAATATCCATGAATTTGTGACAACAGATTTCGTAGCTAATAGCTAATGGATTTATCTTTTCTTGCAGAGATCAAAGATCATTCGCAGACGATAAGAGAAATTATAATTAACTTGTCACAATTATTCGATTATCTCTGTAATTTGATTGTCAGCTTCCTTTACAGTTTACACTTTACACACAACCATTCCTAATAATTTCCATCTCAGCCGTTGCTTATTCTTTTAATCACCAGCCACCATCCACGTATCCATCCCTATCCCTATTCTTAAACTCTCCTTTTCCTATATCACCTCGTTGTCTTCATTCCGCTTTATATTGAATCAGAGGAATTCTCTTTCATGTGTCTTGAATTATATAGACTTACAAACCAGCGAGGAGGACAGTCACCAGCACCTCTAACTGTAAAACAAAGAGAAAATAATTGATTCAGTTTCTATGAAACTACGTAGTCAAATTTGTTTTGCGTAAAAAATAAAAAATGAAGGCAAGCCCATCTTCATTCCTTTTCTTTTGTTATGAAAGAATATATTTACCATATATGATATATTGTGTTCATCCCAGTCATATCGAATAAGAGGAATGTGTTGGATTTTATAGTAATCTTCTCCTCCTTTGGAAACTTTATTCTGTAATTCCCTTTCTTTTGTGCGGATAGTAAATTCCTTTAACGAAGTGATAAATCTCAGCCCATCTGGAAGCTTTAACTTATCACAATTCGAAATTGTCAGAGAATGAAGAAGTGGCATGGAGCCTTCTTCTACTATCCACTCTTCCCACTCCTCTAGGTCCCATATGAAAAGTTTCTGCAATTTAGGAATGATGAATCGCTGGCCAACAGGAAGCTTCTTCAAGTTTGAACATCGTCTAAGATACAGAGTATGAAGACATGGCATGGAGCCTTCTTCCACTGTCCACTCTTCCAATTTTGGTATACTATCTAATCTAAGAATCTGTAATTTAGGAAACCCTCCATCCGAGCAAACCATTCTCCTCCCAACATAAACGTCATCTAGTAACGAAACCGTTTTCAGTTGTAGCAGTTTTCCTAGAATTGGCATCGGATCCTCCTCCAAACGACAACCATATAGAGATATGTCTATAAGATGAGAAGGGAGATGTTGCACGTCGGGTAGCTTCTGTTGTTTGAGATGATTGTCGTCTTCATAAGATTTAATAGTAAGATCTTCCAGCTTTCCCAATTTACATAGAGTTGATGATACCATACCCCATTCCTCGTTACTTATATAGAAAGACAGACTCCGTAGCCTTGACATACGGTGAAGATCCGTCACACTGCTATGCTTCGTTGAGAAATTATACAGTGTCTCCAAGTTGAGTAGATTACCCAATTCCAACTTTGTCCTGCCATTTGTGATTTTTGGTAAGTAGAGGAATCTTAGTTCTACCATATGTTTAAAGACATTGGGTACGTCGGGCATCCCACCACGAACACTTAGATTGAAATAGAGCAGCGACTTCAGATTCCGTATGGATGCAGGTAGATGAGTTACCTCTCCCAGATGTAAACTCAAATACTTCAAGTGGATGAGCTTTCCAATGCTAGATGGTAACTGCCCTCCCTTAAATGTAACAAACTCAAGATCTAAAACCCTCAACAATGGTAGTAACTTCATGAAGTTTGATCCCATCCAAAAAGAAGTCCCAATAAACAAGAGAGATCTAAGTTTGGAATTCTTTATCTCCCTCTCTCCACTAATTTTTTTTGTGCGGTAAACTACGAGTCTACGTGATTTGCTTGAAGCTTGAGAGTGTCCGCTTGAGCTGCAGGTTGGATCACTAACAATCTGTAAGAAGTTCTCTTCCTTGCCTTTTAACAAACAAATCTCTCTCATCAAGTCATGCAACTGACATTTTTCAAATCTTGAAGTCAACTTGTCTCTTTCGGAGATAACCATATTTCTCATCACTAACTCTTTTATGTAGAGATCCGCAACATCTCGAATGGTAGCTCCCTCGTAATGCCTAAGTTTTAATATCCCTTCTGCAGCCCAAACATAAGACAAGTTGTTTAATTCTACTTTATGATCTTCTGGATAAATGGCTAGGTAAAGTAAGCACTGCTTTAATTCACTAGGCAATCCTTCAAAGCTCAAAGACAGGATATCTTCAACATTGGAATTGCTCCCTCTAACAATAAGAGATTTGATATTCTCAGATATCAGTTTCCACTGATGTGAGGTGTGTTCGGCAGCTAACAACCCACCTAATACTTCGACAGCTAATGGTAGTCCTCCACAATGTTTTATCATCTCCTTAGCCATATCTTCCATATCTTTATCAATGATATATCCTACACAACAACATGGAGTTATATATCAATTAGAGTTGGATCTTTAAATCTATAATCGGTAAATGTTTGAGATATCGTAAATGGCTATCTTAACATGAGAGAATTATGATAGTCGTAAAACATCTTTAAGTTCTTGAGTTAGGTTTTTCCACTTCTTGAAATCATTTGTTTTTTTTTGCTTTCCCCTCAAATAACTTAGGCCAGTTATAAAAAAAGAAATTGTATTTTATGTTATGTTTTCCAAAATTACCACTAAAATCTTAAAATACCAGGAAGTAGTATACAAAATGATTTAGCTGAAGTAGTATACTAAATACCTACACAAATTTCTAGATTCCTTTATAAAATTTGTGGTAGCTAATTTTGAAACTTTTGGGTTTTAGTTGAATTTTCTAGGAAAAGATCTCGAATAACTAGGTGTCTTTGGTATTGCTAAGCATGTTTTGTTTGAATTCTGAAAACTAGTCGAGAATTCATAATGGAACGTGATTGAATTAAAAAGAGGTCACGGGAGTTGGTTCATCAATTTAAATGGGTTTAGAAATAGAAACAAAAATCATGTGTTATAAAATAGTTAAGTCTAACTTTAACATATGTTTTTTTCTAAAATCTATATCCTTCTGATCCCTAACTAAAAACTCTTGAAGCTATAATCTAAGTTTAGATATTCAATTCAACTATCTATTCTTACATTTTTCTATACACTTTTATTTATTATATTTCTCCATAACCCTATTAATCTATTACATCTATTGTTTTTCGAATTTCTACTTATTCTTCATATTTTGGATATGCAATAATTATCAGTTTAGCATTCTTATTTTTATTTCGTACATATCTTTCATTGTTCATCTCTCTTTTCCATGTTCTTAGATGTTTATATATTTTTTTCTGTAATTATTTCTCTGCCTTTTTGTAATTTTTTCATTCTATTCTTGGTAATCTATCTTCTCTTTGATTGTTTATTAAATTCTCTTTTGTGTAGTATAGTTTAGCGTTCTGTTTTTTTTTCCCTATATATTTTTTTAGGTGTATGTATATGTTTACTGTTTTGGTTTTTGTGGATGACCTGGTTACATATCAAGGAATGATGGAAAAGCCATTGGACACTGTAAGACATATCAATCAAATTTTTCCATATAAAAGATCTCAAAGCGTTGAAGTATTTTCTGGGATTGATTTGTTTTTCTTATTGTTTATATATATTTTTTTACAAAGCAGAAAGCTTAATACAATTTTTGTTTCGGGTGTTTTTATTTATTTATAGAAAGTATATAAGAGGGAAATTTGTGACAAGAATTTGAGTTAAAAGTAGTGTGAATTTGTAATATAAGATTCATAAATAATCGGGCTAAAGAATGCTTACCAGTTTCGTTCTTAGGAAATGCTATCATTTGTAAAAGTGTCCAGCATTCGTCAGGTTGTAGGAGTTCTGGTTTAAATGTCACACATTCTGGATTTACTGCCTCATTGCGTGAGGTAAGTAGTACCTTCCAACTAGCAGCTATCCAAAAAAATTGTTTATGAGCAACGTGCATCTTTTTTGGTAGAAAAAATGTCAAATGGTAGATAAATTAGGATTACTATTATATTATACCAAAAGAGGTTACCTTTTCTCACTGGAAACACTGGCTTTATCAGGTTCCAGTCTTCATTTGTCCATAGGTCATCAAAGACGATCAAAGCTTTTTTTGTTTTCAATAACTGAACGAGTTTCACTTGAAGTTCGTCTTCCGACATTTCTCGATCTTTATCTCCAGGACTAAGAGTCCACAATATGGTTTGCCACACATTCTTCCGCTTACAGTCTTGTGATACACACACCCACACAAGTCCATCAAAATGACATTTTATTGTCATATGATTAAAAATTGCTCGCGCAAGAGTTGTTTTCCCAAGACCACCCAATCCAGTTATGGATACCCCATGATTGCTATCATTTTCCACCAATTCCTCAACCAATCTCTCAACATTTTTCTCCAACCCAACAAGAATGGTTTTAGATTCACTAGAATATGTATGACGTATCTTCTCTTTCCTATCTTGTTGAGCCTGCGGATACCCACCTTCAAAGTTTTTTGATAGTATGCCAACGTTCTGCATATCCTGGATCACTTTGGAGATTCTCTTGGTGATGCTTGTGATTTGTAAAGCAGTCTTCCTACGAACAAATGGAATGCAAGCAAGACTTTTCATGTGATTCTTGATGCCACCGTTTTCACATCTTCCTTGCTTTAGAAGATATGTTTCAATTATATCCTCAGCATCATAAATGATTTCCTTTACGTCGTCAACACAATTTCTTGCAAATGAAGTTGTTTGTTTCCTTTCTTCTACATCACTCAGAAAGGACGATAGCTTTTTCAGTTCAGTTTCTAGCTCAGTAACTTGCTCTTTAACCCCCGACAATCGCGCAGACTGTTGGCTGACGAGATCCCAAAGCTTTGTAACACCGAACGATACAATTGCGTTAGCCATGATTATATTGTCCTGCTTAAGAGGGAACATACTAAGTTATTACAATATAAGTGATGAAGATTAAACGATAACAAGGAACCAACATCCCATTGAAGTTCGAACGGGTGGAAAAAAATAACATGAAAATTGGTACTTGCATATTTATTCTTATAAGCATACGTGAATACTTTTTTTAAAAATTTCTAATGTTATGATAGAGACTATGAGGAATAAAAAAAGGTTTAAATTGGTGTATTCAGACATATATATTGGGATTTAAGTTTAATAAAATTTATATGATTTTAAGGATTTTAGGTGAATTTAGAGAAGTTAGTATACTTTATTGTAAAATTCTCTAAAATCAACCTGAAAACACTAATATTTTTAATTAAAAAGTCCACCAAAATATCTACAAGTAATAATACAATTTTTAAACGGTTTCATTAACATGAGATTTCAAAATAAGAGTGTTTCTTAACAAAATCTTAGGTTAAGAGCCTCCCAATAATGATGCTCTTACATCAATCAGATTGGATTTGTTATAAGTACAAATGTAATAAAAGAACCAGCTTAGTGACCAAGGTTATCTATAGTCTCTAATTTTGTATGAGACCCCAGTTGCGGAGAGGTTTAAATGAATTTATTTGGCCACCTATGTCATCAAAGTGCACTTATCTTTTCGGTGAAGGTTTCTGAGAGAACTCCAGTGTTAAGCGTGCTTATGCTGGAGTAGTCAAAAGATGGGTGAAGTTCTGGGAAGTGGTTTGTAGGAACTGTGTGAGTGAAGCCAAAACACATGGAAAGATCATGTGGTGCTTTTTAGGGTCGGTAAACAAGTATTTAAGCCTTCCTGACTTAGCAAACCAGCCGTCGGATATTAATGGGCCAATGGACCTAGTGAGAGGACGTGATGCCCATTAAGAGAGGTGTGCTTACGGGCTGGTGGTGAACATGGGGCCCACTGGAGAGATGGCGGTCGGAGCATTACAAGTGGTATCAGAGCCGAACCCAGACAAGTGTGGAGTGGTGGGCTCACACTGTCAGGGGGTGACGATCATTGTGTGCAACGAGGACGTTGTGGTATATTAGTGGGGAGAATTGTGAGACCCCAGTTGCGGAGAGGTTTAAATGAATTGATTTGGCCACATATGTTACCAAAGTGCACTTATCTTTTCGGTCAAGGGTCCTGAGAGAACTCTACAGTTAAGTGTGCTTATGCTGGAGTAGTTAAAGGATGGGTGACCTTCCGGGAAGTGGTTGTCGGAACTGTGTGAGTGAGGCCAAAACACAGGAAAAGATCATGTGATGATTTATAGGGTCGGTAAACAAGTATTTAAGCCTCCCGGACGTAGCAAACCGGTCGTCGGATATTAATGGGCTCATGGGCTTAGTGAAAGGACGTGAGGCCCATTAAGAGAGGTGTGCGCATGGGCTTGTGGTGAACATAGGGTCCAATGGAGAGATGGCGGTCAAGGTGTTACATTTTTTCACTTGAATCCTCTTTTTATTTCTCAGAAATGATATCTCAGATCAATGCTTGGTTCTTTCATGATGAACATGATCCTTGCTTAACAGATTGTACTCCAACTTTCACAATATATATACTTGTATAGACCATTGCATACATCAAACTTCCCCACGACACTAGCATAGGAAACCCGTGACATGGGAAGATGAAGTGCAAACACTTTAAGATGAAGATTCGTAGTAAATGGAGTATCAACAGACTGATCATGATGACATACCAAACCTATTTTACACATTTTTAATATTTTCTTTTTGTGACAAGATAAGATTTTTTTTTTTACTTTTTTTCGTAAAATTTCTATTCCCAATATATTATTTATTGCACCTAGATCCTTCATCTCAAACTTAGCACTAAGTAGATCCTTCGCCTCAAAGTCAGCACTAAGTAGATCCTTCAATCTCTGAGTAGCACACATTTTGTTTGGTAGCTATCAACATTTTATCCATATAAAGCACCAAGTAAGCGTAAGATTCATCTTTCAGTTTGCTAGTGTAAACACAACAATCATATGGGTTCCAGATGTAATCAAGCTCCATCATATATCTATAGATACTTATTCAACTTACAAACGTGGTCTTCTTTTTCAGGGAACTTGGAAATCATCTAGTTGAGGCATATATATTTCTTCCTCTAACTCTCCATGAAAGAAAGTTGTCTTAATATCTTGTTGGTCAAGTTCCAAATTCTGATGAGTTACTATCCCTAACAGCGCTATGATGGAAGTGTGTCTGACAAGAGGTGAGATATCTAATTGTAGTACACCCCCTCTCTAACTGAACCCTCTTACAACAACTGGAGTCTTATACTTTAATCCTTTAACTGGTGATATACCTTCCTTTAACTTCAAGATCCACTTGCAAGTAACAATCTTTCTCCTCGGTGGTTGTGTGACCAGATCCCATGTTTGGTTCTTACTATGAAATTCCATCTCATCTCCCAATATAGCAAACCATTTCCCAGCCTCAGCCTCTGAAACAACCTCTTGATAAGTTGATGGTTCACGATTACTTACCTCGTTTGCAACATTTAAGACATACCCTGCCATGGCCTCAAGACAATACCCTAATGTATCCTCATACCATATCTTTGAGGTTGTCTTACTCCAGTACTCTTTGTTTGATGTAGAGCGATTAGGGTAAATTTTGAGATGATGTAGATTATATTGGATCAACTTCTGTCTGTATTTATTGACTCTCTTTGTGTTGATGTGTAAATCAGCTCTCTGGTCATCTTTCAGCTCCACATGTTTTTCAAAACCCTCTTTCCAATCCTAGCTCTACGGTTGATTCGAGAAAGAGGACCCTTATATAGGGAATCCACCTTTCTTTTCGCCTCAACGCGGGCTACTATTGTATGTTGATGTTGTAGGCTTTGTCGAATATCTAAACAACTATGTTATCTTACTAAGAACAAATCCTATATCCCTTAACTCCATAGCCCAAAAAAAACTTCCTTCCTTACTCTTGGCTCTAGTTTACCTCACTCACATGATAATAAACTCTAAAACCAAAAAATCTTAAGATTAGAGTAATTTGCAGGTTTACCATGTCACAACGTTGTAGGTGTCTTGCAATTGATACCCGTGTGCGGTCCACAATTAGCTAAGAACATTCTTTCTAAAGGAGCATTTGAAAGCATACAACTTGTTCTTTCTAACAAACGTTTGATTCATTCATTCATCACCAGAATTCTGTTGTGATATTATTTCCTGTTTGATTTTCCATTAATGGTTTTCACTCTTTGAAGTTCATGAAAGCTTCACTTTTGTTCTTTAGGATGATCCCCCACGTCTTCCTTGATTAATCATCAATTATTGAAACAAATATATGTGACCTAGCTAGAGACTCAACACGAGTCAAACCCCAACAATCAGAATATAATGGATATAATATAACGTGCCTTGGGTTATATGGTGAAGCTTCCCAAACACAGTGTTCACAAAACTCAAGACTCTTAATTTCATGACGACACACTTGATCTTTCTGTTATAAAATTTGCATCACTCATTAACTCATATAGTCATACTAGAAATAGACCCGCGCGATGCGCGAGATAAATTTGATATTATATTTATAATAATTTAGTATTATTTTTTTGAATCAATTTAATTGAAGCAATTAAGTAACTCTTTTCATTTCTATGCACTATCTCATAGAATATTTATTTGCTTGGTTAAAAATGAAGAGAGTTAAATAAGTGTATATGTTTTATGATTATTTTGTATTAAGGATTAGAATATTTTTTTATTCAACTACATTAGGATACTAAGAGTAAGATTTATAGTTTTAGATCACTACAAAAAACTCTTTGAACTTGTAATCTATATAAATCTACTTTAGGTTTGTCCCTATGTCATCTTCTTTTTTTGTTTTCAAAAAACTCATTGCTTATGAAATGTTGATTACTTTTTCCTTCGGTCTCTCAAAAAAATCATATCTTCTAATATTTCATATAGGATAATATTATATAATGACACATTAATAATATTTTTTTGTCAACAACTTTATATTAGTCCAGAGCATTAAAATAGCCTAATATTAATTACATATACAATAAAAAACTAAACCATATGTATTCTTAAAAATAGGTTATGTTAATTAAAAAGAAAAGTCACATACAATTTACCATAGCCACTTTTCTCTCTACCAAGATTTCCGAGAAAAATAAGATATTCTAATTTAAATGAAAATTTAAAAAAATGTAACAATAACATCATGGGAATTATACATAAATAAATTATACAACAACAATGAAAATAATAAAAAATAAAATTTTAGAGAAGAAATGGAAAATATTAATATTTTAAAGAAGATATATTAGGTTAGTACCAGGTAAGTTCTCTAATTTATATACCAAAGTGTTGTTTCTTTGTATGTTTGTATACAAAAATAGTGGTCAATGTTTTTGTTTTTATAGCCTTCAAACTATTTTATTTTTACACATGTGTTGTTTCATACTTTCTTAATTTATAAGTACGATTAAATATAAAAATATGTTAGATTTGTATCATACTTTCTAAAAATATTTATATCAAATTCTTAAATGTTAATTTCATTGAATTTTATGCCATATAACAACATAAAAATAGAAAATATCAAAGATACACGAATATAAAGGAACAATATATATGATTTTATATCATATGCAATATGAAATTTTATTATAAAATAATCTGTTTTTTTTGGCAAAAGAACTTTAGGTATTAAAAATTGGATTCAGAAGTAGATGTCAAGTTATATTTATAGGAAATAACTTTAGTTATATCTTTTGCTTTACACAAATGAATTTTGAATCCCAATTAATTTTACTCATAATAATTTTTTCATAATACTTTTATTTTAATTGTTACCT